GGGGGATTCAACAAAAATAAACAATAATGAACAAGAGTCTGCTTCTAGACCTGCAAAATGAGACGAGAAAAAAGCAAAACATAACAAAAAAATGGGACACAACACCAATATAACAAAATCAAGCTATCACTGCGTCAACTTGATGAAGAAATATATAATCAATCATTGTTTAACTAAACAGTCACACGATAATATACCACAGTGCATTGAGTGCCCACTATAGTCTTAAGACATGTGTTGAACGTGCCCAAGCCCATACTTATGAGAGCACCATGTGAGCACCTGTGTGTGTACACGCGCTTGTTTATGTAAGGTTTATCTATAGGAGCGTCCAATAGAGAGTGTGAGGGACCACAGATCTGCCCCCCAAAGACGCGTAGGAGACGGGGGGGAGCCCCAAGTCCCAGAGATCCAGGCGCTGCCCCAGAACACAGGAACCCCAAGGAGCCCGCAACCAGAAAGGCCCCCGCCCCCCTCGAGAGGCACAGAGGATCGCCCCGGGGGGCCACAACCAGCAGCCGGCAGAGCCCCGGGAGATATCAGCGGCAAGTCCTCAGGCCTGCCCGCAGCCTCCCACCCCCTAGCCGGCCGAGTCCGGGACCCAGCGACCCGGGACCCAGGGGCGACCACCCCCGCCGGGGACCCAGCATAGCCCAGGGACCCAGACCCTCCCAGGCCGCCACCGGGATTGATCAGGCAGATGCCAAAAATCTTAAACTCCCTGACCCGGGAGCCACGAACACTCAGGCAGACCAAGGCATCACACCTACACCAGGTGTGACAGGGGGGAGGGGAGACGAAGATCTATATCATCAAAGGAGGTCCCAGGAGAAGGGAGGAGTCAAAGGCCCCACCTGACATATACAGTCATACACAAACACAGTCACACACTCCCTCCCTCATGCTCACACATGCACATACAACCAAAGACTTACAAAAATACACGCCGGACACCCATTCATGCTCCCCATACACACCCTATTCACTCTGGTCCCGGTAATGCTGCACATGGGGTACAACCACCACCGGTTACCAGAGTTTGACCCTTTCTGCTGGGGTGCTGATGAGCAGGCTCCCCCGCCCACCGCCGAGCACAGCAACCCACCACCCCAGACCCCAACCAGACGGCCAGATCTCCCTCCTAGTCTCCAGCCCCAGGCAGCCAAGCAACAACAGAGGTGTGCTAAGACCCCCTGGTCTCCCTCCACCTGCTCCAACATAGTGTTGTGTGTTAATGAGGTGTATTCTATTGCTGTGGTGAGCGGGCAGTGCGGGCATTTTCTGGCCTATGCCAGCTGATGCCACTGCACCACCCTACTTGCACCCACAGCCCTTGGTGTCTAAATGCAGTTTAAAATTCGAAGTGGGCACCGGCACTCGGGAGGAGGCTGAGAACTCCCCCTGCCAAGTGCCGTTGAATGTGCTCACTCCCAAGGCCCTAAGTGTATGTTTGCGTGGAATGTCGTCGGTGGAAGTGCATAAGGTGCAAATAAAATTGGGGGGCAGGAAGCCACAGGAATGCGGAAATGGGGTCCATACCCGCACTCCTCGACTTGTCCACCCCCCAAGGTCCTATGTGCATGTTTGTGTGATGATGTGAGGGAGCAGGAGGAGAGAAACAAACGGGGATGGGGAGGAATGGCTGGTAGGGCTTAGCCCTCCAGGGAGCCAGCTCCCCCACTGACCCCAATAGGCACCTCCGTTGTCATACCGCCGCCCAGGGCATGGAGACCCCAGCCCATCCTGCCAGGGCCCAAAGCAGCAGCATCACAGAGCCCCACAGAGCCCGAGGGAGCCGACCCAGCCCCACCCCAGCAGAATATCTATGCCCATCCCTGCATTTGCACAACTTCCAGAATATATAAGACATAAGACATCCAGGTAAGGTTGGGTCCTCCCCCTCCTGGACCTCCCCCTCCCCTGTGATGGGACAACAGAGGAGCCAGGGCCTGCCCTACGCCCCAGAACCCGGGCCAGGTACTTCTGCGTATTCCTGCCTTCTTCCCGGCAGCGTACATGTAGGGACCCGACCCCCAAGGCCCAGCCCAGATCCCCACACGGGGCCGGCCACCCCAACACCCCGAGCCCCCAGGCCCCCACCCAGACCCACCCAGGGGCAATGCAGCCGCCAGGCAGTGACCCATGGCCGCCGCCAAGACCTCCAAGGGGCCCCACTCACAACCGCCAGCAGTACACCCCCCGAGGCAACCCAAGCACCTCCAGAGGGGGGGAACGGCCCCCCAGTGCCAGACATCCCCAGTGAACCCATCCCCAGGGAACATCCAGATACTCCAAACTCAGACCCTCCACCCCCCCACCCACACCATCCCGCAGGACATCATCAACGGCCCCCCATCACCGCTATGTGATGGAACCGATCAAAGGAGCCCAGAGAGATTTATTTGAAGTGGAAGCAGAGGCTAAATCAAGTGCAATATGATCTAACAAAAGATTTCTATACTGGTTAATGCAGAGATTTTCTCTATTTTTCCAATTCAAGAGGATAGTTTTCTTAGCGATGCATATGGCAGTCAGAACCACGTGAACCAAAGATTTTTCAATCGGGACATCATCCAGGTTTCCCAGTAAACAAAGAGAGGGGGTGATTGGGATATGACATTTCAGAGACTTTGACAGGTCTTCACATACTCTACCCCAAAATTCCTGGACAGGTGGACAGGACCACAGTGCATGAACGTAATTGTCAGGAATGTTGTTTGTGCAGTGTGTACAGATGTCAGACGACACAAACCCCATCTTGAACATCCGATGACCTGTATAGTGTACTCTGTGTAGAACTTTGTACTGAATTAATTGTAAATTGGGGTGTCTGATCATTTTAAAAGTTTTTAAACAAGTTTGGGACCAGAAGTTCTGGTCAAAGCTGACTGATAGATCCACCTCCCATTTTTCAATAGGGATTGCTATTCTATCGTCTATTTTGGACAGTGTCTTATATACTTTAGACAGTAGTTTAGGGGGTTTGAGATTGCAGAAGTCTAAAACCCTTGGCGGGGTTTGTAATTCTATTTTATTGAGCTTAAATTTTTGTTTGACTACAGATTTGATTTGGTGGTATTCTAAAAAGCTATTCTTTTCTATTCCAAATTGGGAGACTATTCTATTAAATGGGATGAAGTCCAATCCTTCATATATGTTTTCCAGGTATAGGATTCCTTTATTTTTCCAGTCCAGAAGGTTCATCATTTTATTATTTTGCAAAATATCAGGATTATTCCAGATAGGTGTGCGTCTGCATGGTACTAGTGAAGACTCTGTCATTTTAAGATACTCCCACCATGCTGTCAGAGAAGTGCTGATACTAATACTTTTGAAGCCTTCATGTTTTCTTACGCTTGAGCTAATAAATGGTAAGTCTGAAAGCTCTATCGTATTGCAAAGTGTCTGTTCTATATCTAACCAGGACTCGTCTAATGGGTTATCTTGCAACCATCTTGGTATATATTGCAGCCTGTTGGCTAAAAAATAATAATAAAAGTTGGGTAGATCCAGTCCTCCTCTGTCTTTGCTCTTCTGAAGCGTTTTTAAGCTAATTCGTGGAGGTTTATCCTGCCAGAGGAATTTGGTAATTGAGGAGTCCAGAGATCTAAACCAGTCAGCTGGTGGTTTGTTTGGGATCATTGAAAATAAGTAATTTATTCTGGGTAAGACCATCATTTTAATTGTAGCAACTCTTCCCATCAGTGATATTGGTAAGGATTTCCATCTAGCAAGATCATCCTCCACTTTCTTTAAAAGTGGGATGTAGTTTAATTTGGTTAGATCTGCTAACTTGGGAGAAACATTAATTCCCAGGTATGTGATATTACCTGACTCCAGTTGAGTATTAAGCAAATTGACAAAAGAGAAATTAATTGGTAGAACTGTTGATTTTAACCAGTTTATAGAGTAATCTGAAACTTTTGAAAAAGAGTTTATCAGTTCTATTGAATGAGACAGAGACGATTGAGAATTCTGGAGGAAGAGTAAAACATCATCTGCATAAAGACTGATCTTATGTTCTATTTTATTACACTTTATCCCTTTAATACCTGTTGTTTGCCTAATTGCTGCTGCTAGTGGTTCGATAAAGATAGCAAACAGTGAGGGGGAGAGTGGGCATCCCTGCCTGGTCCCCCTCTGAAGACAGAAGCTAGCTGACATTTGGTCGTTCGTCCTAACACGTGCAATTGGCGAACTGTATAATGTTTGTAGCCAGTTTATGAAGAAGTTCCCAAAACCAAATTTATGTAAAGTTGCAAATAAGAACTTCCAGTTAACTCTATCAAAAGCCTTTTCTGCATCTAGAGATAATATACTAGTTTCTATGTTTCTACTGTAAGAGAAATCTATCAAATTAAGTAATCTACGCGAATTAGTGGACGACTGTCTACCCTTTATGAAACCAGTTTGGTCAGGGTGTATTAAGAAGGGGGTTACCTTCTCTAATCTTTTTGCCAGGGCTTTACAAATTATTTTGAGATCAACATTAATAAGAGAAATTGGGCGATAGCTGGTTGGAAATGCTGGGTCTTTGCCTGGTTTTAACAAGAGACTAATATTGGCTGAGTTCATGTTTGGCTGTAATCTGCCGCTCTCTTCGATTTCCCTCACCATTCTGAAAAATGTTGGAGCCAAAATGGTCCAGAATTCTTTGTAGAACTCTGCTGGGAACCCGTCTGGACCTGGAGCTTTCCCATTAGTCATGGATTTAAGGGCTTCCTGGAGCTCTGCTGATGTTAGTGGCGAGTCCAGGACTGCAACTTGGCTGTCTGTTAATTTAGGAAGTGTTATCCTATCAAGGAACTCATCGATCTCGTCATCTGATGGGTTTATCTGTGGTGAGTTCAAAGTTTTGTAAAAGTCTCTGAAAGTGTTGTTTATTCTTTCAGGGTCATAAACTATATTCCCAGTTGAGTCTTTAACAGCAGATATGGTAGTTTTCTCTTTATTAATTTTTAATTGGCTGGCCAGAAATTTACCGGATTTATTACTATTGTTGGTCTCTCTTCCTTTAGACCAAGCACGGGTACGGAGTAGATGGAGTTAAACACCTTTTAAGTTGACAGAACGAGGAGACAAATGATCAGAAGTCCATTCACTGTTTCACCGCTCATGAGGGGGAGAGCCTTTGCAACATACAGCCGGTCCCGCGACCTGCTCCCGTCAGTTGCTTCGGACAGACTCTCGCCGTTCTGCTGAAAACGGCTGATTTTTATTGAAGATTACAGGAATGTTACATACGTAGTTTGCCATACACACACGTAATTCTGCCATCTGCACCTGCAGACGCACGTCAGCTAATAGCCTTGTTAATGAAAGACCAATTCATCCCAAGGACATGCAACCTTGAGATGATCAGGACACATCCTGCAACATCCTTTGCTAACAAAGACAGTTGTTCTTGTATTGAGGAACTGAAGGAAGGAACGCTTTCACTCCCTTATGCAGCTGTTCAGCTTGAGCAGAAAAGGCACAGAGAGGTCTTTGATATTATAACAAGATTCCATGAAAAGGCATATAATAATGTATTTATGATAATATATAAGGGGCAAAAGTGAGAGATACATATTTAATCATATAAAAGAGCTTATAATAATATATGAAAGAGCTTATATGAGAGATATATATTTTCAATCCCCCTTTTGAACTCTTTTAAGAGTTCAATAAAGATATAAGAAATCAAAACAATAACACCAAATTCCATCAAAAAGAATCCAATAAGCAAAGTTTTAAAATACCAATACAAACAACCAATCAGATTACATTTACTCATCTTTCTAGCAGTAAACTAATACAAAAAACATGATCATACTTTCAACTGAACATGTTACAACATGTATGGATCGCATGCAACTCCATATGAGGGCGAAAAACCCTAATTATCATATGTTTATAGGGAAAATTCCCCCATGTCCCCCCATTTGTCATATCTCAATTTTGGGGCGAACACCTGTTGGCATAGAGTGTGCATGCCTAGGACATCAATGATCAAAAGAAATAAAAACAACACAATCAAAAAACTCATAGAAATAAACAGTTTAAGGGATTGTTACAGAAATCACTCAATATTCTCACACTCTAACAACATCTTCTTCATCATGAGAGTCATCACTTTCATCAGAGGGTTCCCCTCCCAAATAGATGTTAGGATTGGCTAGTAACAAGGGCATCTGGATAATTGGGTCAGCAGGTGGAGGGTGTAAAATATTACCCTTGTAAAATAAATGAGGGTGTTAAATACAACCCTTGTAGAATGTTCATAGGGTGGTTACTTCTTCCCCCTGTTGAGGACCCTTCACTGGCTCCAGGCAGCTGCAGGGGGTGATGATGTCATGATTCTCGTCCTGCAGGATGTGGTGGTAGCTTGGCATGCTACTGCAGTCAGCTACTTCTCTTCCTGGTTTTTGGATCCTTTCTCTGGTTAGGCAGATGTCAGCTGCTTCTCTTCCAGGTTAGGCTCCTCCCGTCCAGCCGGACAGCGTGTGATGTCCTCTCCGTGATCCTGTATGGCCCGGTCCACCTCGGTTCCGTCCACTTCCTTTTGGTGACTTTTAGCAGGACCCAGACGCCTGGCACCGAAGACGAAGCCTCTTCGTGTGTGTAGTTTTGGTCCAATGAAGGCTTTCTCGGCTTGTGCAGTCCTTGATCTCGGCAGATAGTTGGTAGGAAGATTCACACTCCGGCCGGACCAGAAGTTCCCCGGACCGATCGCCTAGGGATTAGAGGTTATGCACAAAAATGTCCTAGCTCTTACTGACCCTAGCCTCTGATACCTTCAACATCAGACACATACAGTTACGAACAGCAAGTGCAATTAAAGGTACAGTGACATCACGACATGGACACACAGACACACAAACACATACACATGCACATACACAGAGAGAGAGAGGGAGAGAGTAAGAATGTGTGTGGGAGAAAGAAATGTGTGGGATCCATTTTGCCACCAGCATCTCCACCTGTGTCACAGAGAAAAAATTGCAAAGAAATTAAAACATAAAGCAAACAACAATAATTCAATGAGTATAAATGATCAAACTAAAATATACAACCATGCATGGGTTTTATAACAGTTCCAGCAACACTGGAGATGATGCCTTGTACAATGAATTCTTAAGATGTCCTTCATTAATTAGAGGTTATAACCAAATTGTTTCAGGATCCTGAATTTGAATTTGAATTGGTTAATTTACTCAGAATAGTCCAATGTCTTTGTTGATGTTTCTCAAGGCTCGGCCATGCCCATATAGATAAATAAACAAACAAACAAGACAAACACAGTCAAACACACGGTCCATACACGTCTCTGTGCCCTCACACACCAAGCAAATGTCAGACTGAAGCGAAAGTGTGAAATACTTAACCTAACGCTAAATCAGTGGAAAGAAAAAATAAGACCTAAGGCGTGTAATCAAATTAATCCAACAAAACTTCCCATAACTGCCGTTCTAAACTCATGTTGCGGTGTGATCTCTCCAATTAAAAATTAGGACAACCACTTTTACTATCAATTCAACCAAATAGTTTCAGGTTGTCCCTTACCTAAACTACCTGTCTTTCTTACCTTCTTTCTTTCTTTCTTTCTTTCTTTTTTAGGAACACTACTCGCACAAGAAATCCTAAGAATTAATTCACTACTTAAGGTTAATTCATAAATAACGAAACTGCAGTTACAGGTTTGTTTGTGCATAGTATTGGTAATCAGCAGTTTTTTTTTTCCTTATCTCCTCATCTAGAAGTGTTTCTGTGCTACTCCTTCATCTATAACACAAGTTAGTATCATCCTTAAAGCATCTGAAATTAAGCTGCATTGCTAAATCAATAACGTGATTTGTGCTAAGAGATACTCCCCTATCCTCTTCCTTTTTCCAGTGGCGCTGAATGACAGATTTTAGATCAATTTAACGTTTTATCACTATTACGTTTCATTTAATTAATTTTGCTTTTTCTCTCTTATTTTTGTCTATTTATTTATTTATGTTATTTACTTATTTATCATGCCATCCTGTGATGATAATCTTAAAGACTTTTTAGCCAATTGTCGTCAAAAAGGCCAATTAAAAATATTATGTTAAAGATTTCACAAGATAAAAATGTGAACATAATTTTTATCGAATGAGGGGTACAATTATTCAATATTTTTGTGACATTATTTTCTACGTTAGAACTTACAGCTGATAGAAAAATATAGGATCAGCTAGGTTTGGCTAGATCTGTTGGGAAACTCAACGGAGCTGAAACAACACTGTTGTCTCGGATGAGATGTTCCATGAATCATTTAGTCAGCTGAATGCCAAATTATTCATTTAATGTTTATTTTTATGCAATGAATGGAATGGGATGGAACGTTACTATAAACTGTCCGGAAATTTGCGCATGTTTGCTCGAAGGAGAAAACTGTTGAAGCCTAAAGCGTTCTCCTAGACTTATAAATAGACACCGTTTCCTTAACTAATGAAGATAAGTGATGACGCCGATGAATGACTTTTTGAAAAGAAAATAAGGCTTTACTGCATGTCCGCTGCAGCTGAGAATCCTAAGACAATAAAGATTATATTGACGTCCAATGGTGAGTTGGGCTGAAATCCAGGTTACTAATCCTATTATTTATTTATTTATTGATATTATTAGTATCTTTTTTTAGGCTAACTTTCTCAGTTAACTATGTTCTACAGTAGTTTAGTAAATTTTCCACAGTTCTGACATTTCATCAATTCAACTGGTTGTTGCCAAAAAGCCTTGTTCATTACCTGACTGCAGCAAGCACTCTTTTACTGGGTGTAACCATAGGAAACAGTCTCTTTTGAGCCTCTCTTTGTAAGTCCAGGATGACCACCGTCATTGATTGAAGTTCACATGTTAGCACACATGCTCCCCCTTTTGTACTTTGTTTCATCAGCAGCAGGGCAAATAAGTTTCTGCCTCTTTGTCCATCTTGTAGTGCTCCCCGTCTTTATGTTATGAGTCACAGCTTTTGGTGAGGGCTTCCAGGTTCTCTTTGTATAGAAGTCAGAGCCAAACATTCTTTGCAGCTGGTTGTGACAGGCCCACCCAGTAAAGTTCATGCCTGCCACAATGCACAGCAAACGTTTTCCTTAAATATGTTGATTGAGTTAAAATGACAGAACTTTCTCTTTTACAAATCAAAATCAACGATGGTTTCTAATATTTAGTCGACTTTATTGACTCAAAGGTAAATCTAGACTACTTCCTATGCACAATTTTTCTGAATCGTCAAATCGGTTCTACACAGGTTTTAAACTTTAGGCACAATCTATCCCAAATGCAAGATCCCTCCTTTCATTTTTTATTTATCTATTTTATTTTGGGAAAATAACTACCAGTTTTTAACTCAAAACAGCCTAGTACAGTTTCTAGCCAGGTTACAGGAAATAATACTTAGTTTATCTGTTTTTTCATTATTCAGCGTCCCAAAATCCAGCCATTAACGTTAATGGTTCTTAAAGTTGAGGCAAGACAATTATTGGATTTTGTTTTATAGCAAGATTTAACAAATATTTTATTTCCTTACTGATTATTTGTTAATTTTATGGTTTTCATAAAGATGATCCTGAGAGGTTCAGAGCTGCTTTTCGCAGCGCCCTGTGCTATTTTTAGACTGCGGGACTCCTGTGTGTAAAAGTGGGTGGAGTCAGGTCCCCAGGCTGAAACTCCAGTCATTCTCACTAGATCTGTCCGAGAGGAAGGATCTCCTGAATACCCTAACCAGAAGCCTTAAGGTACGTCCAAAACACCGAAAAATATCCTTTCTAAAGTCACAAATGGCTTAAAACTGCATGTTACACAGAAAAACTGTGAGAGCGAGGGAGTCCAGCTGACTCCACGGCCCATAATCAGACAAAATACTTCCTTTATAACCACGACCATACAACTTTTGTATTTTAAGGGATTTTCTTGTCCTCACACTAACGATAAATTCTTTTTCTATTGTTTCCACAGTCTCTTGAACTAAATAACCGTCTAGCAAAAACATGGACCGCACCCTGTTTCTCAAGCAGCTGCTCCCTCTATTAAAAACTGAGTCATTCAGAAGATCCAGCGAAAGCAGCTCATGCAAGAAGACACACATTCACTCATTCACATGGCACAGACGACATTCTTTGTTTGTCACAGTCTTTTTTTTTAAGTAAGTCAGTTCGTCACTTATTTATTCTCTCTCTATATATATATAATATTTTAAGCACAGAATTTATTTTAACATTGCACTGGTTATTTTCAGAATTTAATGCTTACTATGCTTTTAAGCAGGCCTTATGTAACATTAGCGCAAATCCAATTGCAATTTCTTTGAGAGCGCTCTTGAGGAATAGTTTATATATTTATTTTCTGCAGATCTGTTTTGATTTTACTGTTTAGCAGCTATATGACTATATTTCTAAAATAAAGCTGTCATTTACATCCTTACTTGCGTTTCTTGGTGGTTTTTTCCCTTTTTTCATCTCCAGGTCACTTAACCCCCAGATCGGGGTCACTCACATGCTGCCCCACACACAAATGATTATCACGCTTCTACACTACATATGTATATATGTATACACATATACATACATACACACATACATATGCATATGTTACTTTAAAAACCTTTTATTTATTAACTTATGGTGTTCTGTTCAAAGACTGATCAGAACAGGGTTGCAGAATTTGAATTTTGCGTAGCTCCAAACATTAATTTTTAGCACTGCAGTGTAATTTACATATACGAGTTGCAACTTTTTAAAGCTCTTATTTATCTTATTTATTTATTTTCTGGTACCGCATCAGGCCTTCACACACACACACCCAGCGCTGTACACTCACACACACACACACACGGAGCTCCCAAAACTCTGCTCTGCATTCTGCACTCTCCTAGTGCTGCACTTTCAATCCAGAGCCGTAAGCAGCCTCTTGCTGCGCCTCACACACACAGGCTGAACTCAGCTTACACACACAGTGAAGCTTGTCTACAGCTGTGCCTTTTTTCTCTCGATTCTGCAGCCTTCACTTCCCAAATCTTTCTCCAGTTACCTCTACTGTTAACATCTACCCCTTTTTTCTTCATCGCCTCTTCCGCTGACTTTCTCAATAAAACCTTATTTCTCGTGGCTTCAACTGGGCTGCTTGTCATATTTAAACATTGCTCATTTTATGCAAAAACAGCCAAAAGCACGCAGAAATAGCCAAAAGCACTGCTCTCTTCACACAGAAGCAGTCAAAACATTTATCATCTTATGCAAAAACAGTTACCTCAGAACATTTTTCTCATCTCATGCAAAAGGTCCTTGACCTTAAAAATCCAGGGAGCTCTCTTTAGCCTCCCCTTCCCTTAACATAAAAACCAGGTCCTTGACCTTTAAATCCAGGGAGCTCTCTTTAGCCTCCCCTTCCCTTAACACAAAAACCAGGTCCTCGACCTGTGGACTTTTAGGGTTCCCACACCTATGGATCCAGCCAAGCTTTATATAACCTCGTTATATATTCTATCCGCTCGTCAGCAAATAGTGTGGTCAGCCACGACCTGGAAATGGAACTTTAGGGCTACTCTATTAGCCCTGGGTCACCATCCCTTCATCTGTACTATTTCCTTTTCTCATTTACTCATTAAACCATTAGAAAAATAAATCCTCATTTCATTTCACCATTAAACCATTACAAAAAATCTCTTATTCTTTCTGCACTTGTCTCCACTTTCTTCTCCAACTATTATTTTAGGACCACAGCTACTATGATTCTGGACACAAAGACTTTGGATAAATCCAATGAGCAGATTTTAGAAAATAAGGTTCTGCTCACCTTGTTTTCCACCGCGGTGTTCTGTGCCAAGATCGTTCACTGGGTCGGTTGGTCAAATTGTCCTCCAAAAACTCCTTTTTCTTCAAAAAGAAAAAATCCTGTTCGTGACGCCAAATTTGTTGGTCTCTCTTCCTTTAGACCAAGCACGGGTACGGAGTAGATGGAGTTAAACACCTTTTAAGTTGACAGAACGAGGAGACAAATGATCAGAAGTCCATTCACTGTTTCACCGCTCATGAGGGGGAGAGCCTTTGCAACATACAGCCGGTCCCGCGACCTGCTCCCGTCAGTTGCTTCGGACAGACTCTCGCCGTTCTGCTGAAAACGGCTGATTTTTATTGAAGATTACAGGAATGTTACATACGTAGTTTGCCATACACACACGTAATTCTGCCATCTGCACCTGCAGACGCACGTCAGCTAATAGCCTTGTTAATGAAAGACCAATTCATCCCAAGGACATGCAACCTTGAGATGATCAGGACACATCCTGCAACATCCTTTGCTAACAAAGACAGTTGTTCTTGTATTGAGGAACTGAAGGAAGGAACGCTTTCACTCCCTTATGCAGCTGTTCAGCTTGAGCAGAAAAGGCACAGAGAGGTCTTTGATATTATAACAAGATTCCATGAAAAGGCATATAATAATGTATTTATGATAATATATAAGGGGCAAAAGTGAGAGATACATATTTAATCATATAAAAGAGCTTATAATAATATATGAAAGAGCTTATATGAGAGATATATATTTTCACTATGTTCAAAGTTTTCTATTCGTAGTCTTTGTGCTAAAAATTGTGTTTTTTTGTCAATAATTCCATGAAGTTCTAATTTAGCTTTACGTAATTTGCTCAGTAACTCTTCTTCTGTGGATGTCTCTAAAGACTTAATGATTTCTTCTAACTCCTGGATACGTTTATTTTCTGTTTTTTTCTTATGTGATGAGAAAGAGATTATTTTACCTCTCATCACTGCATGCATCTTTAAATAATTTGGTTGGGGTTGGATCTAAAATGCAAGTGGAAGGTTTGGATGAAACTAATATTTTTGATAACTCTGAAAGCTCAACTGGATCAAAACAGTTCAAGCACAGATGAGGTTCTACAGTTACCTCTGATGCTTCCTCACTAGATTTTGTTTCTAATAGAATTAATTTTACTTGTGAAAAATCCCATTAAGTCATTACTGCTGAGGGCTAAGGGAATATATGGTTCAGAGCTATGATTCTGTGTAAGTTTGGCAACTGTACTGAAAATAAATTTAGGATTATTCTTATTCTCTTCAATTAACGCTGAGAAATAAGCAGTTCTAGTTTGTCGAAGCTTATTTTTATAAAGCACAAGACTATTTTTCCAGGATAGGTAGGCCTCCTCATGGTAATCTGATCATGTGATCTGTGACGTATGCGGATGAAGATCAGCTTCAGGGCTGAGATGTTTGTTCTCTCAGCGCGGGGGCTCGTTCCGATGCTCAAACAGTAAAGAAATGCAAATGACAACTTTAGTTGTCATTGGCAGTGAACGGTTGGATCTAAAATGACGACTTTAGTCGTCAATGGCAGTGAATGAGTTCATGAAACCATAATAGCTTTTAGGATCTCTGAAATTTTTCACATGGATTTGGGGATGACCGATGGGATAACATTGTGTGGCATTCATGTAAGGGTGCAGACTTGTAAAGTCCACACATTTGACCTTTTCATCACTCTGAGCCAAATATCTGAGTCGCACAGGGCATGTCCTCCCTCTGAACAGCACCTCCCGAGGTGATGGAGGTGCTGGTGGGAATTCAATACCCTGCAGAAACTCTTTTACCTCAGGATTTGATTTCATCATCTTGTGCCAATCATGCTCCCAAATCACAGTCACTTTTAAACAATCCACAGATTCCAGCGTCTGCAGTTTTTCAACGATTTTGCCATAAATTTCACCAAAAGTGATTTTACTCAGAGGACACGTTGCAGATGGCAAGAAACATTTTTGACAGCCGTGAAAAAAAAAAAACCCTAAAAACTCAAATGCGTGTTCAACGCCTGAAATCACAGCATATCCATCGTGACAAAACTCTTATTTTTCTCTCCTCTGAAGGTTTCGAAGCATGTTGAATCTCTACATTTTGACAATGTGAAAGCCATTCTAACCACACGACACACTGTTGAAAATGGTTTTTGTTGAGTGCGATAATTGAGCGGGCAAGGGATTGCCAACGTGTCTGGTTTTAGAAAATTTGCTCTAAACACATGCATGCAAGCCGATGCTATGGTGACTGAATTAATAGGATCGATCCCTGTTTCATTAAAAAACTCCTCTCTGAAAATTCTACAGGCCTTACGTAGAATTTCCACATCATTCCTACAGTAAAACACTGCTTCCTTCTTAAAATAAAAGCTGATGATTAGTCACTTCCGTGTACATTCTAAGAATGTATTTTTCTGCTCTGGAGACATTTGATCAAAGCCGAAATTGTTGACAGCTGGATAAGGCCCTGTGTAATGCAGATGCTCAAGCGATGAAAAGCGGTGAGGAAAATAGCTTTATCTGCAAAACCTAATGCCTCAGGGAGGTTGGCTAGCTTCATCATGAGAAAATTTAACGAATCTATAAACCTTAAACCAAAATCTGTATCAGAAAAACTCAGGATCTTACAGCCTTGCATAAGAATATTTTTTGGGTACAATTTTTAATCGTATCATGGCTCTCAGGATTAAACAGACGTCGAACCCTCTGGCGTTGTCAGCAGTAAATGTATAATTGCTGAATTTAGGCCGCCTCATCCACATAATAAAATCTTGAATGCATTCTACACCATATTTTTCCCAAATCTCGCCTGAATCAGATTTTGCACAGATCAAAAATGGTTTATGCACACCATTCTGATCCAAAAATGTTTCAGTGTCATAATAAATGACTTTTTCCGTTAATCTTTCATCCTTTGTTTCAAGCTGAATAAAACACTGATGACCTTGAACCGCCGGTTGTTTGCATATGCCACATTTTAATGTAGGACAAACATGGTCTGAACTGTCTTTACCCAAAGCCAAATAATGAACATGTTTACAACTCAAACATTTTTAAGCAATTCGCAAGGGGAAACATTCCTGTCTGTTTGAGGTTTGTGTGCAGGTGTTTTGTGTTTTTGAAAACAAATTAAATATTTACATGTCCGATTATAATCACGGCATTTAATGAGCGATGTCTCAGTTCGTTTGCATAAATCGTTGCAAAACCATGCACAATGATGCCCACACATTCACTGATAGGTGTTAAAACACCAAGATGTCATGTTCTGCGGGTGGAGGTGGCAGACCATGTGTGGTGGTGGGTTCCAGGAGGCAGAAAATCAGGCAGACGGATGTAAAAAATAAAAAGATGTTTATTGAAGGACGGGAGCAACAGGACGAATGAACATGCACAACGTCAATGAACTGACAAAGACAACAACCAGGAGGGAGGTATAAATACACAAGGGAATCAGGAACACATGGGCAGAGTAATCAGGGACAGGTGAGAACAATTAGGCTAATCAGGGCAGGAGCGACACATTCAGGGAGGCTGGAGCGGATCATGACAGTACCACCCCCCCCTCCTCCCCCCCCCCTTAAGGGGTGGAGATTAATGCTTCAGAAATGACTCTGCTCTGTGTTTAGCGTGGTGGTGGTCTCCAGCAGGTCCAGCACCTGGATCAGTGCCAGGTCTCGGAGTGGAGGTTCATGTTTAGGAGCTCACCAGAACGTAGATCATCCCATAAAGATAGTAAAAGAATGACAGGAGGTAGAAAGCCAGTTTGCACCAGCCTTCCTTCTGACAGTAGGCTAGGATGTCAGCATTCATGATGGTGGTTGGGTCATAGAGTCCAGGACCGCTCATCACTGGTCTGCTCGTATACCTCCAGACATGATAAGCCAGCAGCGGCAAGTTGAGTGTGAGCGTGAGCCACTCAGTCGCACAAAGGAACATCACACAGAAGAAGAAATGGATGAGATACTCTGGAAGCACCAGCGGGTTTAATGTGTTACACTGATCTATAGGATTCTTGTAGTCAGTCTTCAGCTCATCAAATGCTATTATGTGACAGATAGCGAATAAGATAAGAGCTGCTGTGAGCAGCAATGCAAGCATGTAGCAAAAGGCCGCGAATGTGAACGCCATTTTTCTCCTCCGGTCTATCAGGTCAATCTCGTCTTGGTCAACCACTTCCTGGTCCACGCAGCAGTTCCTGCTGGGTCCCACGTCTGCTGCTGCAGTTCGTCTCTGTGTTCCTGGTGTCCTGTGTTCCTGGAGTCAAGTGTTTGTGTCCAGTCAAGTCAAGTCAAGTCATCGTGTCCAGTCAAGTCAAGTCATCGTGTCCAGTCCAGTCAAGTCAAGTCCAGTCAAGTCATCGTGTCAAGTCAAGTCATCGTGTCCAGTCAAGTCATTGTGCCCATGTGTACGAGTCCGAGTTTCCCTGGTCTAAGTTCTTGGACACGTCTGATTGGTCGTAAGACGGAGTGCCGCCTGGACCAAGAGGCCCCTGCTCCGCAGCCCTGGATGGTGTTCCTTGTCCCCTGGTCTCGTCTTCTGTGTTCCCTTGTCATGTGTGCCCTGGTCTGGTCTTCGTTTGTGCCCGTGTCTCCTGTGTTTTGTGGCTTGTGGGCGTCTGGTATCCGCCCCTTGAGGGGGGGGGGGGGGGGGGGGGGGTACTGTCATGATCCGCCCCAGCCTCCCTGAATGTGTCTCTCCTGCCCTGATTAGCCTAATTGTTCTCACCTGTCCCTGATTACTCTGCCCATGTGTTCCTGATTCCCTTGTGTATTTATACCTCCCTCCTGGTTGTTGTCTTTGTCGGTTCATTGTCGTTGTCCATGTTCGTTCGTCCTGTTGCTCCTGTCCTATAATAAACAGCTTTTTATTTTTTATATCCGTCTGCCTGCTCATCTGCCTCCGGAACCCACCACCACACATGGTCTGCCACCTCCACCCGCAGAACATGACACAAGAGCAGAAATATTTAGCGCCTAAAAAACCTTTAATATTTTTTATGCCAAAATAGTGATGATTCAAAAGCAAAAGAAACAACGGATTCAAACGGTCGTTAAAATCTGATTCAAATTAAGAAATGACATTGTCGGTTCTGTAGAAAAATCACAATTTTTCTTTGAACAATATTTTCAAATTGACTCAAATTGCTGAATGAAACGGGGGTTTGAGCGGAAAGCCCAGCTTGATGATGAATATTTTTTTGCCACATCCATTAACTCCATATCTCTCGCTGCGGGGTTTAACAGCCCGGCTAAGCTGAGCACAAAACACATGGCCTGATCGGACTACGGAGATGAAATGAGACAAATTCACTTTTTATTGACCAATTCCTGATCAAGAATACTATCGATTTTTTGTTTCCCAGCACCGGGTGGATTATTAACCACCTGCAATCTGAAATTAAAATCATTTTCAGCCACTACAGCTTCATTCGATTGTACTAATTGGTCAAATAATTGCTGAAAATTCTGTATCATATTTGATCCGTCATAATTAAAGTTAATGTGGTGCTTTGAATGCTGAGTGTTGATTTCAAACTGAATCCTATCATTTGCGAGAGCCATCTGACCTCCCCTTTCAGCAAATCTATTTAATATGTCCATAACGTTGATATAGAAATCTGCAGGGTCTGTAGTTCTGTAGTTTATTGAAAAAGAGACGCTTTCTCTAATCGTTGGTTAAAAGCTTCGTGGGATGAGGACGCATGATTAACGCTCCCTCCCCCTGTTGGTTAACACCGTATGAATGTATCTGCCTCAAAATTTCATCTAAAGCTTGTGGAGATGGAGGGTCTAAATTTAATAGAATTTCATTGACCTCGTTTGAAGTGGTTTGGCAGGCTGGAATTTGATATAGAATGCCATCATTTCCAGCTTCTTCACTCATTTCTGAGAGTCCACTTAAATCAAACCAATCCGGCAGCACCAAATTATCAGAATTTAATAGAATTTCATCGGACAGAGGAGAAGGAGGAGTTTGGTCAGCTAGAATTCTATCTAAAATATCATCATTTGCATCTAGTTCACCCTCTACTGCATTCATTTCTGAAAGTCTGCTTAAATCAAACCAGTCCGGTGCCAAATCAGCATTTTCAGTCATATGACTCATGATACAAAGAAAGAAAGAAAGAAAGAAAGAAAACCTGCTATAAACTTGATGAATGAATGAAGAAAAAAAATCCTCTGTCATTTTTTAAATCCAAACAGATTAATGTTGCGACCTCACTGAGACAGGACATCTCCCACTATATTGACAAGTCCATAGCTGATTTGAAGGAGCAGATACGCCATTATCATCTGGTTTGTTCTTTGAAGCCGAGTGAGCCGGCGATTCCTCCTCCGACGTAATTCTGGATGGAAAAAAAAGAGAGAGTATGAAATAAACATAATCTTTTAATAAAAACTTTATTTTTGATGACTTACGGGGTCTCTGCGCGGCAGCGGCGGTACGGTACGGCGCAGTGTGTTGACTGCTGGTCACTGGAAGCTGGTCTGGCTGCGAGGCTGCCCCCTCGTCACAGCTGCGTGGAGTGTGGGCGGGAAAAAGTCTTGACTTCCGCCGTATCGTTGCGAGCGGCATTCCTGCTCGTATGTGTGCCCTTCTTCTCCTTCTGGGTAATAAGATATTTCTCAGCTGAAAATGGATGTTATTCAGTTACGTATAAAAAAAATCACTTACTGAGTTTATTTAGAGCTCTGTCCAACTGACTGAATGCATCTTGGGGCTTGGTGGGGGTGGTGGCGGTGGCGTGCGTGGTAATTGAGAAAGAGGTATTTCCTCCCAGTCACTTTCAACGGACAAAACAATTGCAGCTAAAAAACAGAAAGATTAGATGTCAGTAGATTGATAAACCATTGGAAAGTGGTGTCTGAGTAAAACTCACCTGACATCACGATGTGTTTCTGAGAGTGATTGCTGAAAAAATTCCTTTACAATTTATACCGTCTTTTTAAAAAAAAATCTTGTATGGGAATGACGTGACTGAACGAAGGGTTATGTTTAAACACATCACAAAGAATTATTTTACCATTGTATCTGTCTGTCATTTGATGTGTGTGTGTGTGTGTGTGTGTGTGTGTGTGTGTGTGTGTGTGTGTGTCTGTTTTATGTTGTGTCCATTGGTTCTTCTTTTTCTTCAAAACGTTGTTCTACCACAGATGTAAAATTGCCTTTACTATCCAAAATATAACTGATGATTGGGTTTGTACCTGAAACTTGTTCCTTAAACCGCTTATGAAAAATCTCTTGCGAAGTTAAACCTATCTCGTCATTACGCAATTCAAACGTGGTTCTCAGCAGGCTAACTTTGGGTTTTTTCAAATCAAAACTCATTTTGCTTCTTCCCTTAATATCAGCTAAAATGCATCTAGATGCAGCTAAGATGAGACAGAAAGAATCTCTAAGGAGTGGATGGTTAATGAATTAAAAAGGTGGCCTGGATGAGGGGAGTCTGGTTGGTCGGCACCCCGTGGCTATCTGCTGGTGTGGTAAAGGAGGGGGAGGGGATGAATGGAGTCGTGTGTGTGTGTGTGTGTGTGTGTGTGTGTGTGTGTGTGTGTGTGTGTGTGTGTGTGTGTGTGTGTGTGTGTGTGTGTGTGAACCGACACTGTCTGCTGAAATGGATCGAGCTTTTAAAAAGGCACGCAGGACTATGGGAACTGTGGGGTTATCAGGCATAACTAAAATAGTTCAGACAAAAGGAGACTTAATGCGTCATTACACAACATTCATTTCTTGACATATAGAGCTCCGGACCCCACGTGACTCTCAGTTAGTAGACGCCATATTGGCAGGTAAAAGTAGCTAAACAAACACGGATGTAAACATGAACGTGAACGGGATCGGCTTGGATTTTACTTCGTTGGAGTTTACTTCACTCTTTAAAACCAAAGAAATCATTTTATATAGTCAGAAATTAAATAGACTAAACATCTCCGACCCTTACCGTGTCCCTGGGATACTTTTTAAAAATGCCACAAGCTGTCGGAGCGGACTTCTTACCGGACCTGGCCGGGGAACCCCTTGGGATTTCCCCGGAGGATGCTTGCCCAAGTGGCTGGGGAGAGGGAAGTCTGGGCCTCTCAACGCTACTGCCCCCGCAACCCAACTCCGGATACGCAGATGAAAATGGATGGATGGACAAATAACAGATCTACACGTAAGTAGTTTAAATAGAGTGCTGTGCTGTTTGAATGTATAAACTGAACGCCAAGAGAAATCACTAGTCTGATTTTTTTCCGTGAATAAAATAAATATGTCAGGCAGGAGCGTCTCAGGATCTGTCTGGGATCTGTCTCGGTGAGACAGATGACAGCAATCCAAAGTGCTTTTTATGTGTGATCTGACAATTGATCAACCATTGCTTAAAAATTAAATACTGCTTAGCCGGTTAATTGCTGTGATCATAAAACACGTAAACGGCAGCACGCAGAAATCACGAGACAACGTTTTACGTGACGTTTACTTGTTGCTATGAGTAATAAGACAGAAAAAGCCACGCCAAAATAAGTTTAGGAAGCCCACTAAGAATCGTAAGAAAAGCATTTAAAATAAATACCATACACAGTTAAGGAAACATTGGTTTAAGTACCTGATATGAAGTGGTCGCTGCATAAGCGAAAACCTTTACTCTCGGGGTCCCACAGCTTCATTTAAGCCTGGTCACTAGCGCGTTTTATTGCAATGATCCAACGTTTGCGGCGCTCCGGATCTTGGGGAATCCTGTAGATGGCTCATTCCTTATGTCGTCCGTGTCTGTTCTGCATCCTGGGGCACAACAGGAATCTACCATAGTTCCTGTCTGTTTGAGTTTTCTGACAATAACAAATAGTCCAGCTGACGGCTTCTATCTGCCAAGATGGCGCCGTTTCGATTTGAACTGTTGCATGCCGGGAGAAGTCACGTCAACTCACGGAGCTCTATAGGGTGCACATCAATGCAGATCACCATTATGCATCTTCACAAAAGGGGACTTCATGCACCATTACACAACTATCATCTTGACATATAGGGTCGTTAAAGATCATATAACAAAAGGGACTACAGACTAGGGATGAGCAAGTACACCATTATCTGTATCTGTACTCGGAGTGGGCGTGGCCTAACCCAGAAGTGGGTGTAGTTTAACTGGAAGTGGGTGTGGTTTACAACAATACGTTATTTTAAGTCTGATCAGAAGTTGATATGTGTATTGTTTATTTGAAAACTATTTACAGAGCAGCCTCAGAGTTGAGATTAAATAGTTTTGATCACAATAGTAAAGGAACTATTACAGAACAAGTTTTTCAATAAAATCAGAACATTAGTATTTTAGTGCATGAATGAAGTGAGAGAGAGAAGAAAAGATCTTTTCTATAGCGCCTCTCAAGATAAAAATCACGGGGCGCTTCACAAAAACAAAACATGTAAAATAGAAAAAAGAATTTAGAAAATGATTAAAATATATTTAAAATGAGCAAAAAATAAACAGTTTTGATTACAAAATGTAAAGAAACAGAGAGAGTGAATAGGAAAGAGGGAGTGGATCCTGAGGAAGAGGAGAGAGAGAGAGGGGAAAAAAAACCGACCGGAGCGGAGACAGTGAGTGACTGACGCAGCACAAGCTGTTTTCAGCTCTGTCTTCTCAAATGCACCACGTACGTTATGAAAAAAGTAACTTTAAATAACTTTAAAGTAACTTTAAAAAGAAGCAAACTGAAGAAAACATAGGGAGAACTGAAGAAACGTGAACAGTGAAGCAAGCACAGAGAGATCCGTTACTGTCTGTGTGTGTGCGTGGATGGACTGGACGCGGACTGAGCTGTGAGCTCCCGCTGCAGAGTTTTGTGTGTAGGGAGGGGTGGGCGCTTTATTTGACTGGCCAATCACAGAGCGTGAAGACAGTCAGTTACCCAATGAGGATTTTCCTTCAGCACGATTACAGATATTTATGAGTTTTACTCGTTTCATGCTCGTACTCGTCAAAAATGCTTTATCTGTACCGGATACTCGTCTGAAATGAGTATCCGGCTCATCCCTACTACAGACAATACAATTGTCAAGTTTGATGAAAGGTGGGTTGGGGGAAAGGGCATAAAGGTCATAAAACAATACACCTGTCATTTTGATTTATGGTGGAAAGGTCATAAAGGTCAAAGAACAATAGACCTGTCAAAAAGTTTGACGAAAGGTTATATCTCTCGTAATGCAAAGCGGATTAGAAAACAGTGTATTTAGCCCCGTTGACTTGCATTCATTTTTTCATTCTTCCGGGGACCCATGAGCCGACCGAAAAGGTAGGAGACTTAGGCTCCCTATACTCTGTCAAAGAAGATGCAGACACATCATTTTTCTAAAAAAACAAACAAACAAAAAAAAAAACGTAAGTGTCTCTATCTGCCCTTGACTCAAAGAAAAGCCCAAGTCAAACTAGTTCAACATTGATACCAAAGCCGTTTCAAACGGGCCATCCTCATCATTTTTTCAGTAATATCCTGCTCACCAACAGAGTGCTGTGATTGGCCCACCAAACCAATAGAGTGCTGCGATTTTGATTGACCAATTCAGAGCCGTGGCCATATTTGTTTCGCTCTGTTGCATTCTGCCCATCGGGCTGATAGAGTGCTGGGATAGGGCCACCAAACCATTGGAGCACTGGAGTGCTAGATGTCGGTCGACAAGGCAGTCTGCCATTATATTGTTGAAGAACTCCATATAAAAATATACATAAAACAATATATCGTTTTTCTAATTAAAGAGCAAGTAACGTCTAAATTAACTTTTTTTTTGCTGATGAACTGTATAAATGAGTGTCTAATAGTGTTTTAAATGTGTGCATTCTTTATTTTAGCATTTTGGTGCATTTTCTTTAAAAATTAAAAATTCTGTCTAAAAACCACAGTAATGCACCACCTTCAGCTGAAAACATAGAATTTGAGTCATTTTGAATAAATTTTAGCCAATGGCTAAAGAGTAAAATACTACGTAAACCAGTAGAGTACTACGTAGCAGCTCCGTGCCAAAGTTATAAAAGCAACGAGCGTCTCGGCCACGCCCTGTGGCGAGTGGGAGTTGGATTTGCAAGCGAGCGTAGGAGGTCAGCGGTAGTTCAGCATTAGCATATAGCATTAGCATATCCTAGTCTTTAGCATATATTTTAGTGTTATAAATACTTATTTAGTGTTAGATTTGGCTGTTGGATATTGTAGTTTAGTTAGTGTTTGGCTGTTAGTGTAATTGGGAAAGTAGTTAGGGTTTAGTGTTCCATATCGTCTTAGTATTGGTGAGTAGGTGTAGAGTAGTATGCTTGCGGTGACTCTGTGGGCATTTTACCCGCGATTCTGCACGTCTCCGTTTGAAGAGGGAGGCTGCCCACCGTGGCTCTTCCGCGATTTAGATGCAGCCCACCGACTCTGCTCCCCCACCACGGTGGGCTCCAGTCTGAGGTGAGTAAGCTAAATAAACATTTTAACATCTTCTAAAGACAATTCCCTACCTAAATGCAAAGTCTGAGAGACGTGGTTCACTTCCTTTAGCTAGTCAGTCAGCAATTCTGCAACAGTGGCTCTAACTGACGTGAAATCCAGCTTGTGACCCAGTTCTGTAAGGAATTTTGTTCAGGAGGTCACATTTCAGGCTCTCCACATCATGTGTGACTGACTTTTACGTTATAACAACGATCACACACTAGGAATGTTATAAAGTGCCTATATAGGAGATTCTTTTGTATATTATCTGACTTTATAAACTCCCAACAACAATGTGCTTCTATTTTTTTTTTCAGGCTAAATCTACCCAAGACACTGGCTGTCAGACTGATTTAGCTGCAAGAATGTACTTGTCCAGGCTGACGTGAAACCTTTCCTGTAGCAAAGGTGAATTATTTTTAATAATCTTCTATGTAAACATTTTATTATTACCTTCTAGTTTTAATTTGTTTTACAGATTATTGTTACACGTGATTTTATGCTCTTTTTAACATTTATAAATGTGCTGCTTCTTTGTTTTTACATAGCCAGCCAGAATGGAGTTCACAGCCGCAGTGTGTCTTGTGACCCACGGGGACCATGATGAAAATTCATCTTCCAGAAGGTCCCAGAGCAGCTGCCACACCCCCTGAAAAGACCAAGGTGTGAGGTGTCTGCTGTTGATTCCAGCTTCCACCTCAGTGACAGTGCAAGCTCAGTGAACTGTTCAAGGTAAAAAAAAAATTTAAACATTTCAGAATTTTTAAGATATTAACAATTAAATAAGTATGTGATTACATCATGACATCATGAAGGAGGCTACTGATTCTGCCCCCGTGACACTTGGTGGTGACGTGTGAGCTGATTCACCTGGAAAACAACTTTTACATTAAATATTTTGTTTTTGCTATCAAAAGTAAATTAACTAATAACCTGCATTATTGCAGGACACTCAGCAAAATATGGACTCTACACCATGAGGCAGGCACACGTTAATAACTCTGTAAGAGCACATAAGGTGAGCAACACCACATATTGTACACTGTCCTGAATTTGTTTTCTTTCTGCATCTCATTAGCCTGGCTGATCACCTGATAACTCCTGTCATCTGGTTATGACAGCATGAGGATGTCCTCACACACCTGTAACCTATCAGCTCATCTGGCAGAATAGAGAGAGAAGAGACAACACCACATCTCCTGTTCCTGGAAAGCCTTCAGCCATCCTTCGATGACTGAGAACCTCCATCAGCTCTGTCTCCTGTCTGCCCACAATTATTATAATAAATATTGTGTTTGACAAGTTTTTTTGTGCTGCCAAATATCTCATATAGATTCCAGTTTTGATATTTTAATGGATATTTATAAATTACATTAATTGAATTACGGTATCACATTGCATGTTTAACTAGCTCTATTGTGATGAATTAAACTAGCACCTCACTGTTAAAAGCTCATTTTAATTTCAAGCATGTTTAAGTATTTATGGACATGAACAAAAACAGGAAATATATAAATTGAGATTTATTTAATTAATATAACAAATAAGGGGGAAAGAGTCATTGAAAGGCACATTCTTCTGGAAGCTCCTGATCCTGACGACACCAGCAGAGGAGACCACCTGCAGACACCAGAGACCAGCTGCAGACACCAGAGGACCTAGAACCAAGAGAGCAGCTGTTATTAGTAAATAAATAAATCAGGGCAGTTTTAGTGGGCTGAACACATTACAGAATAATTTTCTCATGGGGTATTTTCATAACTTTATGCAGCAGACTGTAACTTGAGCCCAGGGCTACCGGAGAGCTGCTATCCAGCACGTTTCAGTGGATTTTCCTGCTTTAACAGGTTAGATTAACTGTTAAGCAGCTCAGCTATTTGTTGCTGATTAAAACCAGGTGTGCTGAAGCAGATAAACCTCTAAAACATGCTGAATACTAGCTCTAGGGCCGTGGAGACAAACCCTGCAGCTAATCCAATGCTATGGCTAACAGCTACTTACCGTTCAGAGGTGGTTCTGTTGGGTCGGTTCTGGGAGTTACAGGCAACTCACAAGCTCACAACAATAAGGCTCAGGTCCGCTTGTCTCCTCCAAATAGACTTGGTCCCTTTCTTCTCGAGTGTCTGGGTAAGGAGGGGGAGAAACGTCCTCCACTTCTAATGACTGCTCAGAGTGAAGGGAGCTAGCATCGTCTAGTTAGCCGTTGTCTTCGTCACTGCCGCGGCTCCGCCCTCTCGGTCCTCCAGGCAACGCCTACTAATGTTGCATTTTTTAAAATTGATACGTGAGTGGAGAAGAACTCTGAGGCTCAATTGACCCGCTCTTTAAACATGCTGCAATTGGCCAGCCACAATACTGGCCGGAGCTGAGAGGTTCCAATGGAGCATTGCTAGACCGTCAAATTTGCTTTGGCAAATAATTCTAGGCTACCTAGTTGTTGGTTTTCTATTGTTTCATGTGGGTTGTAAAATCCATTATTGTAGTTTCTAGTTTTTTATTAACATTCACAAGATTTAAAAGTACAACTCCATTTTTACTTCCTATTTATTGTTTCTTCAGTTCTCTGTCAGATTAGTAGTTTTTAGAGAATAGAACTCCTAATAAAATTGATAAACACACGCAGGTATCTCCAGTTGTTTGTTTGATACTTAAAATAAACATTGTCATGTTTATTCAGACTTTGATCATCCAGTTGAAGAAACAACAACAAACAAGAGTCGTTTGTTTGAACTTTAAAATAAGATCAAGACTATCCAACATGTTAGAAAGCCATAATCGGAATGGTCCTGACCTCGCCCCGCAAAAAAAACAGAGCACTTTTAACACACCACAAAAGGTAGGATTATCTGATAAGATTATTGTTAGAGCCGGGCACATTCTTAAGAATGTCGAAAGAGGACGATCAGGTTACAACATTTCCAGATTATGGCTTAAGTCTTTCTAAAATGTACCTTCGTTGCTTTTTCCTCTTTGGCATTCACAAAAACTAAACAAGAGGGGAAAATGAGGTGTTGTCTTCAGTGTATCTGCTTCATGTTCTCTTGCCTCCCTGAAGCCTGTTTCTTCTTTTAAAGATAATTAACACTTTCACACACAGAACGGTAGAAAGGCCACACATTATCCTGCAAGCATGTTTCTGTAAGATGATGTTTCTTGTGAATCTTTGCAAAAATAAAAATGAATTGGGATGATAAAACTAATCAGTATGTGTTTTGAAGGCCTGTTGAAATCCTTTATCATACAATTTGATCAGCAAACTATTATATCTTTGAATGTATAAATAAACATAGATATTTATCAGCTCCTATAGAAACAGTAAGCAGGTCAGTGTGTTGAACCCTCCCTCAACAGTGACTCATCCAAGATACATCAGTGTGAAAATACGCATACATTAAACATCACAGATTGGATTACAGCACAAATAATAGACGCCACTCATATCTCAGTGCTGTTTGGAGACACACTGTGTCTAACGCTGCTGGTGGAAGATTGAAATTCCTGTTTACAGCAACTGCTTGGGATGCTGCTGGCAGAGTTAGAAGCTAATATACTGTAGGTGATAATTGATTCAGGCAGTACTTCTATTCTCGTCTTTCATCTTGTTTTGGTCAGAATAAACACAAAATATTCGTTTTTATTATTTTATCCGGTGAGTTTTTATTCTCTTGTTTTTTCAGTTTCTATTTTTATCTTGATGAAATTTCCTCCAACATCACTTTCTTCCATAGTTCTCCTTTTCTTTTCTCTGAAAGATCTATTATCACTCTCACCTGTGGGAACTGTCTCTCTCCCTTTGTGTGTGTGTGTGTGTGTGTGTGTGTGCGTGTGTGTGTGTGTGTGTGTGTGTGTGTGCGTGTGTGTGTGCGCGCGTGTGTGTGTGTGTGTGTGTGTGTGTGTGTGTGTGTGTGTGTGTGTGCGTGCGTGTGCGCGTGTGTGTTGTATTTCTATCATGCCACAGGGAACAGCCGCTGGTGTCCGCTCTCTTGTGGCCCACTGTTATTTGCAGACTGCATCACATGAGCACAATGACAAACACACACGTAAATATGTAAATGTGACCTTCACACTCACACACACACACACACACACACACACACACACACACACACACACACACACACACACACACACACACACGCACACGCCACATGCACGCATACACAAGCACCATTAATTTTTAACTCACACTGATCTTGACTGAAAATTTGCACACACCTATGCAGTTAAAACACTACGCACAGGACATCAGGAGATACTTGCAACACACACTCACACACAAGGTCTTTAGAATTTGCACAAAAGCAATACGGGGCACATACCAGCAAATCACTGGGGCATGTAAAAGGTTGGTGCTGGGGTATGTTTAGGGTAAGTACAGGGTACTTGGTTATTTCCCTGGTACACACCCCAGAATCACCAGATGCTATTATGCATTGCTACTGAAGCACATACTGAGTGATGCTTTAAAACAACAACAAATTTGGTGGTTTTGGTTCTGGTTGAGCATTGCATTCTCTGCAGGTTCACAGTAAACCTATGCTGGGAACTGGTCTGCAGAGCAGAAAACCACGAGGCAAATCTCTCCACCCATCTGTTCTCCTGACCTCCACTGAAGTGATTCAATGTCAGACTTCTCACTGTTTTTCATCATGTCCACTCTAGTTATGAAAAATGAAAAATGAATTCATCAGTCCGTTATCGATCAGTCAGATAATGGTGCGGACACTTCTGGTCATGTTGCAGTGTGGAGCACTCAAAACATTGGTTTGGAAAATGTAAATTATGAGATATTAATTGTATTTGTGAATTTCTTTGGGTGTGTGTTTGTGCGTGTGTGAGTACTTGTCTTTATATGCTTAAGTGGATAAATTTGAACTTTTATGTATATTTTTATGTAACCATTTATATATTCAGGTGAAACTAGAAAAATTAGAATATGGTGCTAAAGTTCATTTATTTCAGTAATTCAACCTAAAAGGTTGAAATAGGTACAGTGCTAAGCATTGAGTGCACCCTACTACATTTGTCAGAAAACCTTTAGTTTCCTTTCAGAACTGACATTTTCTATGAGATACCAAAGTACAAAATACTCCCACAAATGTGGACAATTGATTGCAAACAAGAATTGTTAATTTTCACACACAAAAAAGTGATTTTCCTAACAAATCCATTCAGACCCATGTTGCAAAATTGAATATAGTCTTAGGAGAAAAGTCACACTTAAGAATACACAATTCAACCACAGGTGAGTCTATGATTCATTTAAGAAGTGTTCAGCAGACAGGTGACTATAAAAGGGCGTTACTAAACAAAGAAAAGCCCTTCCCATTTCATGCTGTCAGCAATGGCTCCACATGGAAGAGAAATGCCACAAAAGCTGAGAAAGGAAATAATTTATTTTCACAAAAAAGGTGAGGGCTACAAGAAGATCAGCAAAGCTTTACATTTCTGTCAGAATACTGTAGCAAACGTGATCCAGAAATTTAAGAAAGCTGGAAGTGCAACCATCTTAAAGAGACACCCTGGCCACCCACAGAAGTTAACATCTCAACATGAGCATCTTCTGATGAGAAGGGTTGAAGAAAATCTCCAAGCAAGTTCACTGCAGTTAGCTAAAGCAGTAGAAAAACAAACTGGAGTGACCGTTTCCCGTGACATCGTACGGAGCACACTGCAGAGGAATGGCATGCGTCGGTATCGTCCATGAAGAAAAGCTTTCCTAAAGCGTAGAAGACTTGGTGCTGCTCTTGAAAAGCACAGTGGACATACAAAATACTAGATGTAGTAATTTTTGTTGTGGGGCGTTTTCATTTTTGCTTCAACCAATTTTAGTAAAACTGAAGATTTTGTGATCAAAATTATATTATTAACCTTAATGTCATGTTATGGAGTTAAACTCATGTTCACTAAAACCCAGCCTTGTGAAAAATCTGGAAACTGTTCTTTTGTTCATTGAGCTACCGTTTACATTCATACATTTTAAAAGGGGTGCACTCATTTATGCTGAGTAGTACTGTATAAGATAGACTCATTACATGCAACGCCTGATATATTAGCATTTATTTGTTATAATTGTGATGATTATGGCTTACAGCTGATGAAAACCCCACATTCAAAATCTCAGACAATTAGAATATTGTGAAAAGGTTCAATAGTATTCTAGATTCAAAGTGTCACACTCTAATCAGCTAATTACTCCAGAACATCTGCAAAGGGTTCCTGAGCCTTGGTCTCTCAGTCCAACTGAGCAACCAGCTGGCCAAGTGGTAAAGTGTCTGCCCTGAGACTGGGAGATCAGGGTTTGAT